GAATCCATAGGAGTCAAACCAAACCTGAACTTATTTAAAAAGGATTTTTTTCATTAATTGGAATTTAACCTGAAGTATTCATCTCTTGTCTCCATTGGTCCTGAACCAGCCTGACTAAATATTTATTTTCGGTCATTGGCTTAGAATAAACATTGTCCTAAAACCTGATATCCCCTAATGAGAACCTGTTGAGCAATGTTTCTTTTCTAATCTGTCTAAGGAGGACTGTAACTAAAATGCAGTTCCTTGGAGAAGCCGGTTTTATTTTAATGTCTGTTGTGTTGGAAACAGTTGCCTATTATAACCAACAGCATGCTCTGAGTGCAAATAGGGCAAATCAGCCTGTCTTTCATCAGTTCTTACTAGAAATATATGCACTGTGTATCCTTTGTGTTGAGGTGCTTAGGAAATGATTTACAGTGAGGAGCAAATGAGCTCATGGGGCATTTTCTGTCACTCTTGCCCTTCCGTCCAATAATCCCCATATCTCCTTATAAAATTCTGCAACTCCTTATGTTCTCTGTGAAGCAAAATAACACAGCTTCTCACTTAGCCTCTCAATACCCACTGCAGATTTAGAAAATCAGAGAAAAGGTGCAAGCCAGTGTAGCAGGAACGTGAGCGATGTATGGGATCTGACAGGGATGCTGGAAATAGTTGTCAAAGCTGAAGAACTACCATGTAGTTCTACCTTGGTGAGATGAGTCTGCATTTTAAATTTTTTGTTTTACATGAACAGTTTAATTAACTGGTTTTGACTTGAACAAGGAACTGAAATGGGACAATTTCACTCAGAGATGAATCTAAGTCAGAACTGATTTGAAAAATGTGCAGCTTCTTGTTCTTCATCTTTGTACTGGTCTGTGGGAGTAACACAACTTTGATGATCTTCGACTTTGGGAAACACAGACTCCCTCTCAGCCTGTTGTGAGCAATGAAATGGAGTGTGATCTGAGGCTTTGCATAATCTCTTTCTAAATAGCAGCTCTGGGGCTCTTTTGCCCTAGAGGCTCATGGAATTGCAGTACACGTGGCAAATTGTCTACAGCATAAAAATACAATGTGATGTAATTCAAGATTTCAACATCGTGCAAATATCCAAAGGGCAGAGTTGAGGCTATATGTGTAACCTTTACTTTACAATTTCCTGGCACTGAGAGGTTTAATTTTATTACTTTCGTCGTACATACTGTTGTCATTTTTTTTCCTACTGGCATTTCAAATAGCTTTGTCAGAAAGAAGAGAAAAAGTCCCAGGCACTGCAAACCTTCAGCCCAAATCAGTGCACACAGGACATTTCTTTTAGTCAGTAAAGCTTGGGAAGGGAACCACTTGTTAGAATAAAACCAGGGGTGATAAGAACTGGAAGACAGGTAGACCAACTTCCTACTCAGCAGTTGTTTACCAGTACAACAGGATGGAGTTACTGGAACTCTTCAGTTCCAAAAGCAAAAAGCAAAGGAGGATCAGTGTTAGCTGCATACTCAAGTATTTCCCGTGGCTGGCTGTAGACAACGATACAGTATTTTTTGAAAAGGAAAGTGGGAAGTGCTTATTACATTTAACCTCAATATGCTTCCTGAAGAAACTGAAAGCCATTCATCCATGCCAGTGCAGACCAGTGTGCTTGGCAGTACTCATGCTCACAAGGGGAGGCTCTGACACTGTCTAGAAAATTCTGTGGACTAGAGTGCACAGAAGCGTGTTGTAAGATCTGATGTCAGTACAGTGAATTCACCATAATGCATCACCTGTAACTAGCGGTATATCCCAGGGACTCCTACTGGTTCCATTCCCGTTCAACATCTTTGTTAAATGTCTGGATGATGGGACAGAGTGTACCCTCTAATGACACAAAACTAGGAGGAGTGGCTGATGCACCAGAGGGTCATGCTGCCATCCAGAGGGACCTCAGCAGGCTGGTGAAGTGGGCTGACAGGAACCTCATGAAGTTCGACATGGGGAAGTGCAAAGTCCTGCACCTGGGGAGGAACAACTCCAGGCACCAGTACAGGCTGGGGACCAACCGGCTGGAAAGCAGCTTTGTGGAAAAGGGATTGGGGGTCCTGGTGGACACCAAGTTGATCATGAGCCAGCAATGTGCCATTGTGGCATGCCTGGAGTACCGTGTCCAGTTCTGGACTCCCCAGTGCAAGAGAGATGTGGAAGGAGTCCAGAGGAGGGCCACTCAAGTGATTAAGGGACTGGAGCATTTGTTATATGAGGAAAGGCTGAGAGAGCTGGGACTGCTTAGCCTGGAGAAGCTTTTCAGGGGCTCAGGGGAATCTCGTCAGTGTATACAAATACCTGAAGGGAGGCTGTAAAGAAGACAAAGCCAGGCTTTTTTCAGTGGTGCCCAGTGACAGGACCAGAGACCACATGCACAAACTGAAACACAGCAGGTTCCTTCTGAACATCAGGAAACACTTTATTACTTTGAGAGTGACTGAGCACTGGCACAAGTTGCCCAGAGAGGTGGTGGAGTCTTTATCCTTGGAGCTATTCCAAAGCTGTCTGGACACAGTCCTGGGCAACCAGCTGTAGATGACCCTGCTTGAGCAGGGGGTTGGACAAGATGACCTCCAGAGGTCCCTTCCTACCTCAACCATTCTGTGGTTCTGTGTTTCTGTGATCATGCTTTAGAGCCAAACTATCACATTAAACCTTATTGCAAAATTTGACTAAGGGCCAGGCTTGGTTAACCCATCTACTGTGGATACTTGTTCATGACTGTAGTAGTCAAAGGCAGCTAGAGAGATGCCAACCACATCAGTCCCCAGTGGGGTTGTCTACAGAAGCCTGCATGCTTCCATCATGTTACCCTAGTGGGACATGTATAAGTGGGTGAAAATAGAAAATAAATAATGGTATTTCTAAGTCAATTTAGTGGGGAAATTCCTGGAAATAATCAGAATTTTTACTTTCTGAATATCAATACAAAACATGTTCTATGTGTACTTTATGTGCTTTATCTCTGAACACGGTACTTTTTTACTATACAAATGTGTCTGGTAATATAGTACTACTAAATTATCTAATAATTTTACATAGTTCAGACATTAATTGGGTTCTGTGCCATGTGATTAACGAAAATATGGTTCAAAGGCAGCCCCTTTCTTGGCGCAGAGGACTCTGATGCAACAAAACCTGCCTGTGTCCTACTCTTCACTGGGGCCCTGTGTTGCTCCGGTTGTTCCCCTGAATCTCTATTTGAAGTGATGAGATGGGTGAATTCTCATGAGAGATGAAAGCAGCTGAGGACAGTGTTGTGCAGGCCAGTGAACGTGCGACTGGGAGGATCCATGAGTCTAAAAACTTCAGGATACGCAAGAGTTCAGTCAAAACACAGGCTGTAGTGACTGGTCATTTTTTCAACATCTTCCTTCTAATTCTATTTAAAGCTTCTTAAGCTGGGGTAAGGGTTTGTAGTCAAGGTCAAGTGAGATAGCCCTTGGCAAAGTATGTTAACAAGAGAAGAGAGTTACCTACTGCTGAAGAAATAAGTGTTTGTGGTTTCCATTGCCTAGAACCAGCTGACAGCAAAAGGTTTTACCAAAGTAAGCTTAGACTGTGAGCAATATTTTTTAAAACCATTAATACACAGTTTGTTTTGGGTATACTTACTTGTAAACAAAAGGTCATTCTCTATTAGTATGCTGCATGGAGCTTTTCACGCCACTTTACTGTGCAAATGAACAAGAACTGAAGTCAACATTCTAAGGCAATTTTTACTTCTACCAGTCTTTTAATTTATGATCTTAAGCACTGATTTACTGTAAATATTCAAAAATATATGTAAAATCTTTCACAGCTGCAAAGGTTTTTTGAGATATTCTTCAAAAGCAGTTCTCCCCAACAAGCCTTCAACAACATGAAGGAAGCTATAAGCAAACTTCTACTTATAACTGAGGTCTTCAGTGAATCATCTGCCTCAGGACCAAATTCTTTCAATAGGTGAGTGACTTGCAGTGGTCATTGCTATGCTATTGTCAAGATAGCTCCTTAGAACAGAATACAAATTGTAGAGGATACACGACTCCTAAAATTAAAAAATCCCCTTTATTTCATACTTTCTTATAAAGTGAGGATGTGCTGCATTTAAGGAGTAAAACTCTGATATCCACAGTGAAAAGGTTATGATAAATACTTAGGACCAGATGCTGTGTCCTGATGAAGTGTTTCAGGCAGCACAAATGAACAGAAACCTCTCACAATTGGACTAGGCCTAACATATATAAAGCTGTATTTCCCTTCAGTGAACCTTCTGTCATGTGTCAAATATTTAATGTTGCAGTAGCCCAGATTGTTCAGAGCTGGCTGCAGCAGGTAATCTGAACAAGAGACACTGTAGAATGCTTTATGAAGTGTACCTTATGAAATATACCTAGGCAGCAACAGCCGCATTTCTGTGGGTGTTAAGTCATTGTAGTCACTTCTATTAGAGTGTTACAGTTCCTACACATAAATCAACATTTATTATGTAATATTTTTATTAGTTAAAATTAGTATTTGTTCTATATATGTTATGTCACATCCCTGACATTTTTATGATAAATACTAAATAAGTTACTATTTATTACGTTTATACGTTTTATAAAGCTATTTGAGAACCCAGGTGTTTTAGTAGCAGTAATATAAAGCTCATTATTTGACTTATGCCAGTTGGGAATAAAGCTTACATTGTGAGTGGAGAGGGTAGCGGGGAGGGGAGGGGTGTAACAGGGATGGAGCTATTTTGACAGTGGTTCAAACTCTAACTTTTTTTTTTTTACCAATGGGATGGATATCTCTTGTTTATGTAACCCAAGACTTGCTTAGAGCTCCTGGCCCATGCCTTCAAACATCCACACAGCTGCAGCACAACTCTTTGGCTTCAATGAACACAGAGAGTTTCACCATCTATTGCCTTCCAAATGTCTTCAAAGCTTTTGCAGGACCTGATTCTCTTCAAAAGGCATTTCATCCTCCAGCATAGTTCACCTCCTTCACTGGTTTAAAAATCAAACATATAAATACAGTTTAATATAGAACTGTTTTCATCAGCTCACAATCTGACTCCATCTATGTTTAATGCTGCTTATGACTCTTCTTAGAAATTTTATTTAGTCTGTATTACATGCTGTCTCTTGAGCTATGTGTATATGTTCTTGTGTGTGTTCTCTGGACCTGTGTGCGTATGTCATTGTGACATATATAGGGAAATGGTTTAGTGGTGGACTTGGCAATGTTAAGTTAACGATTGGACTTGATGATCTTAAAGGTCTTTTCCAACCTAAATTATTCCATGACTCCATATTTCACAACAGTACCTAACCTCACTGAGCCCAATTCCTGTAATATTGTATTTCAGATGCAGCCAATGTTTTCAAATGCTGACCTTTGACATTGGATTCGGCACTTCCATATACCCAGTAGTTCTTGAGGTGAGAAAATTACGCTAATTATTGCTTGACCCAAAAAACTTACACCAAAAAGAGCACAGCAGGGAACCCTCTTTGATAACTACCCGCAAATCTCTGAGAAATGTACAAATACATTAATATTAATTTTGCCTAAAAGTGGAGAGTTGCTGTGGGAGAAACCATTTTTTAAGCAACAGAGTTCCTGTGATGAAGTTCACTGCACCAGTGAAGTGTGCAAACCTTTCAGTTTTAGCGTTAAGGGACTATCACCCCAACTGAATGTCATCAAAGCAAAATCCATAGGAAGCCTTGCAAGAAAGTAGACCTCGGTAATAACTGTGCCAGAAGAAACACAAAGGGAGGAAGTTAAAATATCACAATTGGCTTCTTTTAATACAAATTAAATTTATCTGTGAATTGTGTTGTACTTCTTCAGTTCATGACCTGCTTTGACCTCCACTGTGATACCTTCTTCCTGGATGGTCCTCAAGGCCCCCAAAACCAGAGGAATGTGACCTGTGGCATAAACAACCTGGACCAATTTTGTACCACTCCTGCCTCAGAACAGCCTGTCCAGAAACAAAAGTTGTACTGCTTTCCAGTTGGTTCTCATTACCCCTATATATAGATATGAATATGTATATACCTAGGTATATAAAATCTTTGTCCATATTTATGATGCACAAAAGGAAAAAAAAATAGTACATATATCCTGGAAATTACAGGAGAACACTTTTAAAATTCATCCTCAGTTAAAATCTGTTCAAGTTTCTAGTAATAAAATTGCAGTCAATCTCTCCATCCTTCACAAAAAAAAAGATCCTTTAAACACAAAGAAAAAATGGGCATATGAAAGAAAGTTTAGACAATTTAAAAAATCCATTAAGACAATATGCTTAATTAGTCTGACAAGACTTGTTTAGCTAGTATAAGAAATGTGACATATCATAACAATTTAATAATGTCAGGCTGTAAAAAAAATTTTCCCAGGAGTTGATTAAACATAAAGCATAATGTTTACCTGCCTGTCCAGTAGTCTCAACCATCAATCATAACCTGTAAATGTACAGTAAATCAGTAGGATTTAAAAGTTTCTTATGAAAATACAAATTGCGCTGAAAAATAATGGTTGATAATTACTATGACATTTGACTTTGAATAGTATCCCTTGGAAACCGTAGTATGCACATACTCCATGCAGCTTGAAGTTTTATTTGTGTTTATGCTAAAATACTAATTTATTCATATTTTATAAACATGAGTCTATTCATTGTGTTTATATATTGTAAAATTTATACTTTCATCTGTAGTAACTCCTAAATACATGAATTTTGCAAAAGTTATGTTAACATGCAAGCTGACTGTTTTTTTGTAAATCAGATTTCAAATCAAACACATGAAAAAAACTCTCACATGAGAATGCAATACTGTACTCTATCCACTGGAGGTCAGCAGACATTGTGGTGTGTAGTTCTGACAGAAAATGTGGTACAGCATTTGTTATATTATAATACTGTCTCTTTTATTAATGTTATTATGCCTTTTTTATATATATATAAGTAGTTCCAGTTTGGTATATGTTGTTATGAGAAGATTGGACTTGATATTCAGACTATAAGTTCTTATATTGTTTTCCAACAGGTGCATGAAAACTTTGACTTTCAAGACGAGGACGAATCAAATATTCAGGACCAAACTTTCAAAGAATTTCTTTTTGAAGATACTTTTAAATTTCTCTTATCTAATGAATCCTCAACATCCAGTTTCATAGAAGCTTTACAAAAAATATATGGATCAGCTGTGAGCAAGGTAGTTCGTTCCACATTTTTCTTATTATTAACTGTTTGAAAATATTTCATTCTAAATTGCATTTGTGAAATAGTTGATGCCAACTTATAGAATGAAGGATGTATTTAATCAAAATTATCTGTTACTGAATTCAGAGGAATAAAACTATAATTATATTGAACAATCGAATTTTCTTTTATAAAAATTCCACTCTCAAATTATGTCACTCCGCAAAGTGCAGTACTTTAAAGATATGTTTAAAACTTTAACGAAGTAATTTCTCCACTATTTTTTAAAGTGGTCTTTTATAATATACAGATTTATGTGTTTTCTGAATCCAAGACTCAATTAACTCAAGACAAATAGATTCATGAGCATCATAATTAAATTTTGTTTCCTACAACTTTGTGTCTTACTCTGAATGCAAGATCCAATTACAATTTTTTGCATTTATAGGATCTGTATAAAGTTTACATCAGTAGTGATAACTATTTCTGACAAGCTGGGATCTTCTTTAGCACTATTTCTCTCAGTCTGGGCACTTTTAAGGGTGCATTTCTGAGGAGCCTCCTGCCTGCAAGACTTACAGGGACTAAATTATCCATGTGACTTCTGCCTCTCAGACCGGTGTGACTAAAACACGGTCACAGGTTCTAAATTTATGACAGGATAAATCAGGAAGCCACAGACACGTGCACACATACGATATGATTACCTAAGTGTGTGTTCCATAGGAGACCAGACCACATTTCAAACTGTCCACTTCATTATCTATACTTTATGCAATCTCTTCCCATGGTGGTTTCTATGGGTACTTTTCTACACAAAGCTAATGCACAGTCTACTTTATTCTAGACTGAGAAATGGGAAGAGCTATTAAGGAGCTGACTTGACATGACTTTGGATGAGGTTAGGGCAACTTGAGAGTTGCTGTAACTTGTTCCTTTGATTGCCAAAGGGATTGGGGTCTAATGAAAACACATTGCTTTCCATGTGATTTCATCAGAATATGCTGTTCTTTCCTTCATAGGATGGAAATTACCACAGAGAAGATGAGCAATGTTTCTCTTTAGAAGAGATAAATTCAATGTTTACTTTCATAAAGGAGCTGAAGAGTCTTGGACAATTTGAACTGGTAAAATAAACAGGGTTTTGTTGTATTGGATACGTATTTTATGTAAATCTCTTAAGGTTTCTCTCTCTGGAACATGTATTAGGCTGGGAGATAGAGGTTATGCTGATTTTATTTTGGAGGATTTTTGGAATGTAGATTAAAAGAGATAAAAAAATAAAACAGAGAATTTGAGTTGAGGATTCATTGAAAAGGACAGCTAAAGCAGAAACAGAGACCAGAAAACAGAATTAAAGGAAAAGGAGGAAAATTATGTAAATGACTAATGAGTTGGTAAGAAAATAAAATGATAATAAAGCAAACTAGGTGTGAATGGGAGAACTGGAGACAGTACAACACTATCTATTCTCTGGTCATGATCTCAAAGATGAAAAAGTGGCAAAAAAAGCAGGGGGAATATGTAATATGTCATCATCTTCACACTTATTTTTGGAGAAGAATAGAGATGGAGGAATAACAGTCAATGTCTGTGAATAGGCATAGCAGTTAATGAGGGAAATGAGTATTGGGGAAATAAAAGATCTACGACTGGATCTGTTTTTCAGAAAGTCTGCATGATATCAGGATTTCTAAAAGCAGGAGGAATATGTAATATGTCATCTTCTTCACACTTATTTTTGGAGAATAGAGATGGAGGAATAACAGTCAATGTCTGTGAATAGGCATAGCAGTTAATGAGGGAAATGAGTATTGGGGAAATAAAAGATCTACGACTGGATCTGTTTTTCAGAAAGTCTGCATGATATCAGGATTTCTTCTGGACCTCCTAGATGAGTATCAGAGTTGGAGACTGATGAGGCTTTCTGAAGAGGGATTGAGTTGAATAGATCTGGAAGTCAAATCAGAGGCAAAGGAGTTAGACTTCCATGTCAGTTCTAGTAATCCTGATTTGCAAGGCTGGGCAAGACAGTCATTTTCTACACATGTGGGAGAGAGCATTAACATATATCCATCCATATGCTGTGTACACTGTCTTCTGATCATTTCTCGCTTATTTGCATTTTACAAATATTATAATGTGTAGTCTCTAATCAGTGTCTCTCTTCTCAGCTTTTCCCTTCTGCTGCACCCAAGACTCAAACTTTACTGCGTGACCTTTATCACATGGTAGACCCAATGAGACGGCTTAGTTCAGTCCTGACTGTACATTGGTTGCTTTCCAGTTTAGTTGAACGATTCCAGTTCATGACTGAAGAGGGACATACAAGTCTTTCAGAATGGTAAGATAGCTATTATACAGCATGTTGAGGGTAGTTTCTCAAATTGTATTAACTGCAGTAGCTCCAGTGACATTATAAAACTTAATCCTTCAGTAGATGTAGGTGGACTTACAACACTTGAGATTAAGGTCCATCATCCTGTCATGGAGTGCTGTCAGCTATCCTGCCATTAGAGATGTAGCTAGGTTTCTACATAGGACAGTTTTGTCCTTTTGCTTCTCTTTCTAATACAGAGGACTCTGGGTTAAAAAATTAATTAGAGCTACAGTAAAGTTTTTTTCCTAAGAAATATGAAGTAAATTAAGTAGGTTGTTTCTGGACAACTGTAAACTCAAAATTAGGAGTGCTTACCAGGATTAAGACTGTCTTTTAATTTATTCACCAATTAAAAGTAAAACTGTAAAGAGAATAGAAAATTTCAAGTGAAGATTTTTCCAAAAGGGACTAATAATTTTGAGTGGCTTTAAATTTTCTGTCCAACAAGAGACAGGTCAAAGAGCATAATACTGTGAGAACCTAATTTGAACTCTTTTTGAAAAGCTAGAAAAATATTGTAATGACAAGGTTGGATCCATTGAGCTTCTGGCAAGAAATGATAACTTTCATAAGGAGGGAGAAAGGAAGGGAGGGAGGGAAGAAAAGAGGGAGTAAGGAATGAATGGAGGGAAGTTGTTTATATATGTTATATATGTTAGATATATATACACTATATGTTTAGTATAAAATTTGTAAAAATGTGTTTTCTGTGCTCATTATTTCTTGGCTAATGAAGTTTCATATACATGTATGCAATACTTCTTTACTGACTATGGGCATATATGATTTTGCAAAGAAGGGCTTGGGAACAGAGGCACATTAAACAATGTGTGTGCTCCATTCCACTGAGTCTCAAGTTAAATGTGTGAATGACATTATTTTGTACATTTTGCTTGGAGACTGCCTAGTGACTATATAAGGCATCTGTAAGATTTCTTAAGTTTTAATTTCGTTCCTCATTGAATTGGGTGTGGCTTTCAGCAAGTCAGTAGTCATTTGTGTCTTTGTTTGCCTAGCTATAAAGTAGAGCTTATACTTTACCACTGTGCTAGGTAACTGTTTATTAGCATTTTGAGAATACATAGTTCCATGAATGTACTATGTGTTATTGTTGTACTGTCTGCCAGTCCATGAAAAGTAACTCAAAGATGCAGCTGTTTGCATTCATGTGTAAGCCCTTGCCCTTTTGCCGAAATATTTAGGTTTGCATATCAAAGCATACCAACCTTTAGCAGCTTTCTGTTCTAATCCAAGCTGTGCCACTCACTCACTTTGAGCAAGCCCCTTGGCCTCTTTTTTTTCCTTCGAGCTGAACATTATTGTATGTGTACAGATATGTAGAAGTACCATGACCTTTCACCAGGGCATAGGCCAGTCTGCTTCTTTGCACTGTATTTTTCTGCAATGGCTAAGCTAATAACACCATTCTGTTCAATCACTGTATAAAAAAGCATGTGTTTTGACATTGCTGAATCATAATCTTCCACTTTATAGCTGCATGCATGTGATGGTGATGCATGTGTCAGATATGCATGTAATTATACTTAATTGCAAGGAAGCAAGAGCTTAGTAGAGCTTACTCCCCAAATAACTCAGGTATACGTTCTCTTTGAGCTTTGATTGATCTTTTTTGAGATTCCCAGCTTTGAAGAGTTTGTATATCAGAACACTTTTCCTGAATTTCTTCAGTTAAGGCCAGGTTGTTTGGTTGATTTATTTAGCAGTTCTTATTTCTCTGACTCTGCAAAATTGGTATTTCAATTTACAAAATCCAGTGATTTGCCTAGCTGACTGTCCAACCAGGTGAGATATTTAAGGGAAAAGACTTAGGTCTTGTACAGTTATTCTGTTCACTGATCATGAATCCACAGGGTGGAGACAAGATTTAAAGAGGTTTCCTGGTCTACTTTTCTTAAACCATTTCATCTACGTGACTAGTATTGAAACCTTAAATGGTATTAGTGAAATCTCTGAATTCCTTCCACAGGAGAGGCAAGAAGAACTCTAGAAACTCAACTCATACTATAATGAAATGGTTACAGCCTAGGTGAGAATGACCATGTCAGATGTATTGGTATAACATGTGACAAAGTTCTTTGAAAGTGATGGAGTGATACTACCTAATATGAGCACTGAAATCAGTTTTCTGCATTGTTTGTGCACTGTTTTTCAATTCTATGCAGTTTCAACTTGTGATACGACTAAGATGTATGTCATTACTGTCTTTTAGAATAGGGGCTATGAAGTATCATGGCAAGTATGTTTGGCTGTGTCAGACAGCAGTGTAGCATGAGAGAATCAGATTAGTGAGAAAAGCTAACCCTTCTGTATTTGCATAAGACAAAAGTGTAAGCAGCTCAATAAAGTAGCAAATGCTTTTATGAAATCAACTGATACATTTGGAAGTTACTAGCTTCCCATATGCAAACCCCTTTTTAGGTTAAAATAGAAGCAGCAGCCCTCAAACGGAAGTTGGGTTGAAAATAATTTCTTAGAGTTTAACTTGGTCATGCTCATCACCTGGGCAGTTTGAGAAACAAACATGGTTCAGACTATGGGGCAGAAGAAGACAACAGCAAGGAAGTCTGGATGAGATCACTGATCTGCACTGGGAGGAAAGAGAGACAGTTGGGATTAAGTGCCAGGAAACCAATCCCACTCTTGAGTCTGCAATGTTAGATTTCTCTTTTGAAGATCAGTGCATACTTCATTCATTGAACCAAATGCCTTCATAGAAACTCTGTGACTGAAGCCGAGCAAACACTTTACAAAACAAAGAGCTCACACTGCTGGTTAGTCAAACAGAAAAAAATTGCAAGTGATCATATCTTACAAAATTGCCTCTAGTGGCTCCTCATCTATTTCTACACATCCTTCATTGCTTATGTCTCAGATTGCTTAGACCATCAGAGCTACATTACTATTACTCCTGTCAGTCCTTTAGCTTTCTCATTTGCTGATCAGAGAACTTCCAAAAGGACAGGTTCACCATCAATAGTTTATGATGTACACAGCAGGGATCTTTCTAAAGGTACATTCACAAGCAACGCACTCACCTAAGGTACCTGACATACAGTCATTAGTTTCATTACAGCTGATTGCATAGTGTGTGCATATCTGTGCTTGATAGCGCCTCCAAGATACTAAGTAAATAAGAGGCCACTTGTACAGATGAACGCCCCTGGTTGAGTAACAGCATGTGAAGGAGAGGACTCTGCAGAGTCCAGGATATTAGCCGCTCCCAGCCTGAGGAAGAGCTTCATAACTGCATCGTTCTTCAGTCTGCTGACTGCAAGGAGCTTGGACAAAGGAGAACTTAATGGCACTGATGATTAAAAAGCCCAATCTTCAGCAGAGATAAATCATAGAATCATAAATCATTTAGATTGGAAAGGACCTTTAAGATCACTGAGATCAACCGTTAACGTAACACTGCCAAGCCCACCACTAAACCATGTTCCCAGGCACCATGACTTTTAAATACCTCCAGGGATGCTGACTCCACCATTTCCCTGGGCAGCCTGTTCCAGTGCTTGATAGCCTTTTCGGTGAAGAAGTTCTTCCTAATATCCAAACTAAACCTCTGCTGAGGCAACTTGAAGCCATTTCCCCTTGTCCTATTGCTTGCTACTTTGGAGAAGAGAACGACCTCCACCTGGCTACAACCTCCTTTCAGGTCGTTGTGGAGAGCAGTCAGGTCTCCCCTCAGCCTCCTTTTCTCCAGACCAAACACCCCCAGCTCCCTCAGCCACTCCCCATCAGACTTGGGCTCCAGACCCTTCACCACCTTCGTTGCCCTTCTCTGGACTCGCTCCAGCACCTCAAGGTCTTCCTTGTAGTGAGGGGCCCAAAACTGAACACAGGATTCGAGGTGCGGCCTCACCAGCGCAGAGTACAGGGGGACGATCACTGCCCTGATCCTCCTGGCCACACTGTAATCCGAGTATCTTTCTGTAAATACAGTAATCTGAGTACCTTTCTGTAATTTCATTTCTAAATATTACTTTTTATTACCTTGCTGTAATTAGATCGAGTTATTATATGTCTCTTAATGCTGTCTGATGATAATGACAATCTCTTTACAGACTTGATATGTACAGGTCATCCCGTTCCTTTGGGAGCTGGTGCCTTGTGGTGGTGGTAGCTGCCACACTACCGAGGTGTGCTCTGGCTAAACCAAAGTCTGGCATTTTATAGAGTTAAGACATCTTGTTTTCACCTTAATAGGGTTTGGGACTGGGCAATCAAAAAGGAACAGTGGAGAGAAAAAATGTATTTGACAGGTGTTAGCCATTACCTCCTTGGCAAGCAGAAAGAGGGGTGCAAAATTACTTATAACTTGGGGAACAAACTCTCTAACAGTTTGTTAAAGTGCCTCCTTTGAAGTAGGTCATGAATGTGCATGAAATTAGGGCGGTGTCTAGACACTGCAAGCTCAGAACTACATTTTCATGTGCACACAGAGACACACAGATCTGCCAGCTGCTTCTTTCCTTATCTCATTGAGATAATGCAGAAATTTCTGTTTTATTATTGGGCAGTTTACTTTTTACCATGATTGACCTCAGTATTGCTTTCGGCAGCTCCTGTTGAACCATTAGTGATGGCTGATTGCACAGAACAATATTGCCGCCTCCCTTCCTTGCCACAGACAGTGACTTTGTGTCTTTCAAAATCCAAACTGAATAGGCAGTGGTATCTGGGAAGAAACTGCTTTATGAGAACTTCTACGGAAAACACTGGGGGAGGAAAACTTGAAAGCTTCAAGAAATGCTAACGGACCTCTGAAAAAGTCTTATCAGCCAGAGGTCCAGTACGTGGATTGGAGAGAAGCCTACTGCCTTTCTTCTACTATGCTCCCAAAATGCTGTATGAAAGGAAAAATCTGCAGAGTTAGCAATATGGGCACCACTAACATGTGAATGTATTGTTGCAATTGACTTTTTTCACTGAGGATTTATATATATACTCTGGATGTTTATCATGTGATTTGTTTTGAATTAGCAAACAAATCAAAATACATAGATGTTCCATTATATGAGTTCATGCTAATGTCGGTACAGATATTCACCTTGACACAGGCCTTCATTTATATTTAATTCTTTTTGAACAGACTCTAACTTTAACCTAAAATATGTACCAAAAAGCATTACACAAACAGTTAAGAGATGTGGTTTGGATTATTTTATTCTTGGCTATATCCACTCTTCCTTTTCCCAGCAATTCAACTATGTTTTGAAATTTATTTCTAGTTTTCTTTTTTTCATGTGATATGCTACCATTTATTATGGAATGTATGTTTTCTGTCGCGTTCATTCATGTAATATTGCTAATGCTGGGAACATGAATCCAGAAGGTTCATCTTTCCATAGAGAATATTAAAATACCATGTGCTCTGGAATGCCATATAGATACCATAGAAATGTTCCATGGTTTCTGTTCCTTCCATTCATGTAGAAATATATCTGCTATTGAATTGACAGGAATTCTTCTCAAGAAAATGCAAGTCCTAAGCAGAACGTTCCTTCTGACTTCAGGAAGAATCATGAAGGTAAGGGAACAGAGTAAGGTCTTTTAGATACAGTATGTTTTTCCTATTTGTACTACTTCTGATAACATGTATGATTTAGATCATATTGTTTTGCATTCCAGCTGGAAGGTCTTGGCTTATTGCATAAAAAAGATGCAATTTCTTCCTTATCTGTGTAAGTTGTTCTGCTGAGCCCATGAGCAGTGTTCACGAGCCTAGAGCAAAGATCTCACACTGAAAAGAATAAAATATTTTTGTAATTAAAAAATATAAAGTATTTTTATAATTAACACAATGAGAGTTCCTTCTCCTATAGGATTGTGAATCAGACTTAGAGCAGAAAATTATTAATTGTTTCTTTTTATCTTTCAGCATTGCATTATTCCAGTAAGACTAAAGAAAGACAATGCAGTTATGGTAAGTCAAGGTCTTTCTAGACAACTAAGGGGGAAGAAGAGAGATTACTTGAACAAATTTCGTGGGTTTTTCTGCATAACCTTTCAGTGAATGGAGTGCCTGCAGGCTTTAATGTAAAAAAAAAAAAAAAGGATTTTTAAGTAGCAAGAATGTTTATGGATCACTCAATAGTTGGATTGTTATGTTAAATAAGCTTCAAGCACAAAGTTAAACATTGCTATGTATGTATATTAATGTGAGTGTTCCAGCACTCATTGATCCTTTGCTGCACTTCAATAGTCTTTTCCCCTTATTTCCAAGAACTTTAGCATACGTTTGTTCTTGTGGAATAACCTTTAAACTTGTATGGAGTATAATCAGCCTTATATAAGGCCAGTCTTTAGCTCATGGTGGAGTTTTAAAGAGCTGCTTAAGAGGTGAAGAATTTTTCTAAAATATCTGCTTGTAAGAATATTTGAAGCACATTTAGAGATATGTAAAGGTTTAAAATATATTTGTCTTTGGCAGGAGCAATGCTTTCTGCTGCCTTCCTCATTGACACATTATCTGAGGGGTTGCTTTGTAAATATTGCTCTGTGGCGAAAGGCTTTTCTACCCATGGAGACTCATTTCCCCTCTGTTACTGATCTCATGGTGCCTCCAGGAACTCCTCTGTGTCAGTCAGAGGCCTGAAATGCTCCTGGGCTGGCTGACTGGCATCACCATTCCAATTGCATGATATTTTATTTTGAAAATACCTTAATTCATTTTATTTCAAAAATTCCTCCTCATTTATAAGCTCGTAGTAAGACAACCTTTCTAGGTAAGGCATGCAGGATCTGAAGAACTTTTTATACTCATCTGTAGGATTTTTTAAAATACCTTCTGTGTGTCAATTTATAAGCCTCTATTCCCTATAAACCTAGCTGAAATTCTGCTCTTCCACTGGAATAACTTCCTTTACATTTTAATCCCTGAAAGACAGTGCTGAAATTGCCTTGTTTTGTTTCTCAAGGCAGATATTTCAAGGTAGAAAACACCCACATAGAACTGCTTGCATCCTTTATGACCCTGCTAAGCCATGTTTTAAGCCACAAGATTTTTCAGATATTATAGTAAAAGAGTTTCCTGGCTGGAGTATTTTCTGAAGTGCCCAGTTTTAAACACGTACTAGAAGAATGTATGTAGAAAGCAAGTTTTGAATGTGTAATTACACTGTAAATCTGAATCCAATAGGTTGGATTAAAATATTTGTCATAAGTGGGTTGCCAGCAAATAATTATTCTCATGAGTCATTTGGCAAACACTACAAAATAAAGGATACGTTTGAGCAAATAGGATTTGATTGTAGAGATTTCATACACAGGAAAGGAGCTGGAATTTGTTCATTTAGGAATTTTAATAAAACATTCTTCCAGCTGTACTGCGAATGACCCCATGGGTCTAGATATCTCCATGTGACTTGTTCTTATGAACAGTAAGAATATGTCTAACTTATTTTGATTTTTATTGGCAATTACACATGTACATAAACCCTGTACACAGGCTGGTACCTAAGTAGGTTATGAATTTTGGCCTAACTCTTCTTTAAGTTAACCAACTGGAGACAGGATCTCCCAGACCTAATCCTTGCATTTTCAAAGGCTTACTCAGACTTTGAGTTTTGTGACTCTGACTAGAGTCATTGGGTACTGAATGATTAAAATCCCTCCAGGGTCTAAAAATTTCTCTCAAGTGCCAATACAAACTCCACTGAGACCTTGCAGCAGGATTATCAGTCTCAGAGTGACCTGACATTAAGAATCTTGCCACTGTACATGTTATCAATCTGCCAGAAGTTGCATGTTACTTAAAAATGTTCAAACATTTCACAGTTTTTTCTTTGATGCCTTCTTGGAACAGATAAAGATACCCTATCTCATCTCAGGCAGATCTTCACCAGTCCACAGCTGGACTTGAATCCTCAGTTTAACCCAAAAATCAAAGAATACTACGCAGAAGTCCCATTCGACATGGTCACAGTGAAGATAGGAGCAGAACCCTCTAACTGTCAATGCCAAGTACACCTTGACGAGAAGAAAGGGCCAAGGTATGAGCGACAAAATATGAGTGTGAAAACTAAAGATATCCTTAAATTTGGAAATATGTCAGAATATTACAGAGTTGTTTTGGTTTCCAAAAGCACAGAATGCCTATAGATTACTCTCAGGAAAGTCAGAGGGGGTAAAACGCTCAGAAATTTGTATTTATTTGTCAGTGTCCTGAAGGCAATAGTAGTATGTTCTCAAGCCATAATTAACCCTAGCTTTATGGAGTGCACAGTTGCTAGCATCTGCCTCAGCTTCTCCAGTCACTGACAATGTCAAAGCTGGGTAGGAACATACCATTTAATGATGCACACAGTAAAGAGCAAAGAATTTGAGCTTTTGTATCCAGGCCTTGATTTTGCACCATGGCCTAAGCTACTGCCCTGCTGGGCTTGGTCCCTCAGCCAGCAGTCTGCTTACATGGATCAGAGTAGGGCAGCTGGGATCAAAAGAAGAAATAAGTTCAAGTTTACTCATTCAGAATGATCCATTTTCATTAGAATTATATTATACGGTATTGTCATAGGATCATAGAATGATTTAGGTTGGAAAAGACCCTTAAGATCATTGAGTCCATCACTAAACCATGTCCCTAAGCACCATGACTTTTAAATACCTCCAAGGATGGTCACTCCACCATTTCCTTGGGCAGCCTGTTCCAATGTTTGACAACCCTTTTGGTGAACAAATTTTTCCTAATATCCAATCTAAACCTCCGCTGGGGCAACTTGAGGCCATTTCCTTTTGTCCTATTGCTTGTTACTTGGGACAAGAGACCGACCCCCACCTCACCACAACCTCCTTTCAGGTCATTGTGGAGAGCAGTCAGGTCTCCCCTCAGCCTCCTTTTCTCCAGACCAAACACCCCCAGCTCCCTCAGCCACTCCCCATCAGACTTGGGCTCCAGACCCTTCACCACCTTCGTTACCCTTCTATGGACTCGCTCCAGCACCTCAAGGTCTTTTCTGTAGAGAGGGGCCCAAAACTGAACACAGCACTCGAGGTGCGGCCTCACCAGTGCCGAGTACAGGGGGACGATCACTGCCCTCGTCCTGCTGGCCACACTATTGCTGATACAAGCCAGGATGCCATTGGCCTTCTTGGCTACCTGGACACACTGCCAGCTTCTATTCAGCTGGCTGTCAACCAACACCCCCAGGTCCTTTTCCACCAGGCAGCTTTTCAGCCACTTGTCCCTGAGACTGTAGCGTTGCATGGGGTTGTTGTGACACAAGGGCAGGACCTGGCACTTGGCCTTGTTGAACCTTACACAATTGGCCCTGGCCCATTGATCCAACTTGCCCAGATCCCTCTGCAGAGCCTTCCTACCCTCCAGCAGACCAACATTCCTGCCTAACTTGGTGTCATCTGCAAACTTACTAAGGGTGCACTCAATCCCCTCATCCAGATCATTGATAAAGATGTTAAAGAGAACTGGCCCCAATACTGAGCCCTGGGGAACACCACTTGTGACTGGTTGTCAATTGGATTTAACTCCATTTAACTGCCCGGCCATCCAGGCAGTTTTTAACCCAGCAAAGAGTACCCTCATCCAAGCCATGAGCAGCCAGTTTCTCCAGGAGAATGCTGTGGGAAATGGTGTCAAAGTCTTTACTAAAGTCTGGGTAGACAACATCCACAGCCTTTCCCTCACCCACAAAGTGGGTCATCTTGTCATCAGCAAGAGTCCCAGCTTGTCTGATCTTTTAGAGAAGTATAAAGCTGGAGGATAGGGGAGAGAGCAAAGTCATCACTAAACGTGAGGTCTGAGCACTGACCTACAATCATCTGTGATGTTTAATTGCTACTATGATCCCTGGCACAGTTTTGGCTTTCCGAACCAGCTTTCTTGCAGATGGCAGCATGTGCCAGGGACGATCCCAGCAGGCATTTTGGGCATGACCTGTTCTTGGATGTTGGGAGGGACAAGAAGTGTTTATTTATCAGGGTCAGGTACCTCAGAACCAGAGAACTGGCCTATTTATGTTCTACCCATTAGCGGGTCGATAAAAGGGAGATCAGGGACAATGATTTGCTTGGGAGGAAGAATCCTTAACCGTTACAGAGCTAACTTTGCGTCATGGCATGAGGCAACTATGTAACACACCATCTTTTGACTGACTATGAAGCAGATGCTTTGACCTAGCATGTCTGCTAATAACCAGACAATCTGAACAATTGTTACTGATCTAATGCCTAATATGCTTCCTGTATTTTCAGTAAGAAATTTATCTTGATTTATCATCTCAAAAGAAGCTCCCATAAAATTCTTCCACACAACTTTCTAGTGCTTTAATGTTAACCACTTTGGCAGTCAACACGGATACATGTGAAAAACTTGAGATTTCTTCCTTGTAAAAGGAAAACAGAATAGTAGTATGTCCTTTACACTGAAAAGTAAAAGCCCTGGCTGGGAAGGTTCTGTGTCTTTCAGCATTTCTCATTTCCCTGCCACGGGAAGAAGAGGACAGTCCAGCTTTGCTCTTGTCTGTCACTCTGAGCAGTTTGTCTGGGCACTGCATCACGTTTGGCTGGTGAACAATTTCAATGACTAGCTGACACCTCTGATCTTTTTTGTCTCCCTGCTGGCTTCACCATGAACTTGAACCTGTCAGGAATTAGTGTCCCTAGTGGCTTCATTCACAGATTACATGTCGGAATTGTCACTGTCACTGAAGCTGTTTTCACTGAGTTTCACTGTCAGTATTTTGTCTTCCTGAAAGAACTGTAAATTGTTACAATTTTTATTTTACACTCTTTTTTTATTTAAAATCGTATGTATTTTGTAAGAGAAAGAAAATGGTGGAACTAGAAGCCTCAAGGAGCAAGTAAAGTTTAGCTGCCATAGATAAAGCAGTGTAAATCTTTGTTTCTTTAGTGTTTATTCCACTTCTTTCCTGTTTTACCTTGCAGCATTGCTAACTACCCCCTTGGCCTTGGATTGAACAAAGTCATCATTCTCGTAACAGATGATTCGCACCCCAGCCCTCAGGTTGTGAGCAGCTACAAAATCACAATTTATCGAGAGGACCGCCCTAGCCTGCCTTTGTTTGATGACTATATGATGTGTGGATTTGTGCAGGTACTGTCTCTATATTCTTTTGCTATACAAAGTAATAGTGAGTTCTACTGGTTTCTGTTCATCCAGTGGTATAAATTAGGATACATGGGCCAAAGCTGGCATAGAGTCAGTTTTGGTGAGATTAGAATCTGAGTTCTAAATGCTATGATTGTATGAAATCCAACATTTACACAATGGTTTGGATATAAAAAGTAAGTCCAGCATAAGTACCCGTTACAGTTACCATGTATTTGAGAGCTCCAGGTTAATTAATCGTTGCTTTGGTCAAGCAAAACCTTACCCACCAGAGAGCTGTTGTTTGCTTGTGAGAAAACCGTCCCTCTGTACCGTGCAGTGGGCAGACTGCAGTTTTCATAGCTATCTATCTATGACATTGGAGCCATGGGAATCCTTTTACCAGGAAAGATATTTATGATGACAGTGTGTTTATCAGTGCTGCTAGATAATTTATGAATGAAAAGTCTTTATTCTAGAAGACCAACAAATACAATGGAAAAAACTCACTGATAATTCTGAAGAAAGGGATGATTGTTGCTTACATCACATTTACCCAAATATAAGTTTGGAAATACAAATAAATTACTCCTAACTAATAACAATCCTTAGGAAGAAGTGGGTGTTTTGAATGAAAAAAAAGAGTGAGAGACTGTCTGATAGGGCTAAAAAGGTGCTGGGGAAGGGGAGCTCAGGCTGAATTAGACACCAAATTGGCAGAAATATAATGAAAGAAAGGAATAGTGAAGCTTTCAGTTAGTGAAACTATGATGGTAAAGATATTCTTCGTAAGATAGAAAACCTGGGACACAGGCTGGAGCAGATCTGTTTGGATACCAAAGTTTGAGGACTAGACGTCGGTACTTGATATGGTGGGCAAAGATAAGCCAGTTGATTGAAAGAGGGAAGTGACATGGTAAATCATAATCAAGGGCAGTGCTTTTATCTGTGGGATTTTAGGCAGATTAAAAGGTTTGGTGGGCTTATTCTAAATATTAGAGCATCCAGGAGGAATATATTTCGTCAGAATGAATTCTGCAACCAGGAAGCAGGATTTTCAAAACCATAGTGTTGAAACTGTCATCCATGTTCATGTCAAATGTCTAATCCTATCTTTATTTTTCTTCTTTATGAAGATCTTTATATATCAGTATATCCTTTTCATAAAACTTATTTCCCTTCTCCGGTTTCTTTCTGTATATGGCAGAAGAGGTTGGGAGACCAGGGTGGGAGAAGGCAGGGGATTTTATGCGATGGGACAGATCAAGAGATATTTTTTCTCTTGTGGAGAAAGAAGCACTGAGGCTTAAAACAGGAGCCAAAGAGATTATAAATGTTGATAGCAAATTGTATGTTGACAATAATTATCTCAATCTGCAAATCAGGACTGTCAGAGAAAATGTATGTAGTACTCATAGCCTACTGACTGCTGATCTGAGTATCTGATTATGGTGCTGTCTGGCCCTCTACCTATTCTTTGTCTCTTCTCTTACACTTATCTTACAAGCTGGAAAGGTCAAGGACCATCTTCTTGCTCTTTGTACTGGCTCAGCACTACATCTAGTAGTTGCTACAGTAAACCAAAAAAGAATAGGCACATATAACACCTAAGATTTCATCTAGGTGTACAGCAATTTGTCTGACAGCTCAAGTGTGAATTAGTATGAAAAGGAGAGCAGCAATAGGTTGAGCTGGAGTTATGTTACTAGGAGAACACACTGGCTGGAAAGATGTGAGGAAAGCTCTTCTTGTTGCCCAATTTGGGGCAGGTATCTGGGTGTAGGAACGGGAATTCAACCTCATACACATCCTCCCACACTAGAGTTTGTACTGTTGTTTAATTTTTTTATGACAGCTTTTGAGACTGAGTATGAATCTAAGCACTATGAAGGCAAAGAGGTCTAGAATGATAAAAATGAAAAGTGTTTTAGAAGTTTCTTTTGATTGAGCTTTGTTTTCTGCTCATCTTGTGAATAACTGCTCTCTAATATAATTGTTCAGAGCTAGGGAGGACTTCAGGAGTTTAGAGTAAAAACAAGATGAAAAGCATTCTTGTGGTATCTAATGAGGACTGTGAAGATATGGTATGAGATTCTGAAAGCACATTTTTTTTAGATATGTTAAAGGGAAACTTATCAGAGAGTGCATTTAAAAAACAAACGAAAGCTGGAGCTGGAGATAGAAACAGCATTCTAAAACACTCAAAAACCTGCATTTTTTTTCCTTTTCTCTGTTTGCTAGAACAGAATTTATTATGTTGTGCTTAGAGTCATGTTTTTTATCAATACAAAACTGTCATCTTAAATAACATCATTACATTCTGCTTTTCATACCAGAGAACATTATGCACTCTTGCAGGGTGGGTTAATACACCCTGATCAGTGGCATGAATGCTTGTTCTCTTAGTAAAAAGACACCTGTTTTAGGAGCAAAAGGATAAATTCGGCGTGAACTGATGGAGTCTCCTTTGGACACTTGACAAGGCACAACTGAGATCACACATGGGGAGAGAAAGGTCACTGACAGTGGTGTGGTCTTTCTCACAGAAGGCTTCAGTTAAAATTCTAATCCAGTGACTTTTTTTCCTGACTTTCTTTTATGTTTAATCCCATTAGGATATTCAGGTTTCACTGCAAGATGATACTATAAAGAAGGTTACAATAAAAAGACAGAGTGCGGGATGTTGTTTCCAGTCTTCTAACAATTCTCATGCAGTTGAATAATCCTGGATTTATTTCAAGGCTATTGAGTTAAGAAGTGTGTGGTTCCAAACCTTGCAGCCCCTAAAAGGGGAAAAAATATTGTCCTCTTTACTTTTTGAGAGCAGCTATAATATCCTCATTAAAACCAAATTAGTAGGGGATAAACTGTGGCGTCACCATAGCACCTTCAGCAGCTTTGGTTCATTGTGTGTTCTGCATTCTGACAGTATTGCTTGGACTGCAGATGGAGAGGTTATTGGTTTGTGCTTTAACTGAATTTTGTGCAATTGTTGACAATATTGAAATTAAGTGTCCTTGAGAGAAGTGGTGCCATTTCACTATCACCTGTGAAGCTGTGATACGAAGATAGGCAGAATACAAAGCAAGCAGCAAGGAACAGTGAGCTCTTAAGACAAGGGTATCAGCATTACCCTCAAGTGAAAGATCCCAGACTATGTACACACTGCCATAAAGTACAAAATATTTTGTTCATTCTAGCACTGTCCATTATCTTTAAAACACAAACAGCTTTATCTATGCCTCACTTGAAATGTGTGGATGCTACCTCTTTGGTTGTTAATCTTTGCCTAGTTACAATCATAGAAAGTAACTGGTGATGTGCAAGGGAACCTTGTTTGACACTGTGAACTTTTATACCTGTAATGTCCTGCTGCCACATGGTTTGGGTTTTTTGGTTTTGTTTTTGGTTGGTTGGTTGGTTTTTTATTTTAGTAATAGAATTATTTATTCGGTTTTGCATTTGCATTGTGAGTAATGGGTAGCTAATATTATATTTTATAACCATAGTGTGTATCATTCTCTTTGTCTGTGCATTTGCACAAAACACAAAAAAGTACTTTCCAGAATCAGTGCAGTGCCGTGGGCTGATGCTCTGGCTGTCCATCCTTCAGCTTTCTCAGGTCTGAGAGAACGAACTTACAGGAGAACAGCTTTAAATTTTTTTTATTTTTATTTTTATAGAACACCTTATTCTGAACTACTGTTATCTCTTATATTTTTATGAACCCTTTTAGCATATTCGTTTCTTAGAGTCCAGATAGCATAAGAAGTCCAACAGAGCTGATAATGAGATACTGGTATAGCATTGCTGACTGACACCAAATGACTGCAATGCAGCTGGCAACAAGATACCAGCAACAAGATATTGATTCCTCTTTCTGTCTACTAAACTTCCATTGATGAAAAAGCAATTAAGACCCAGGCCTAGTATAACAACTCTATTTAACTTTACTGTAGTCTTTGAGGGGTAGATATGAGAAAACCCTTTAGAAAGGAAGAAGCCTTAGAAAAAAAATCAAGTTAATATCATTTTTTTGTTATGTTAGATATGAGAATACTTATATTTTTTTCAGCTCAAGTTATACATTTTCCAAGGCAAATAAGATGGTTTTAATTCATTTTAAACTGTGTGCTGTTACAGTTACAATACCTTCCATACCAGACAGTACAAGTGAAAACTGTCAATTATAGAAACATGAATAAACTCTTTGGTAGTGGTTTCACGCAAAGATTTCAAAGAACCTTGCAAATATAAAATAATCTCTGTAAAATAAAAATAATAATAATAAAAAAGCTTAGGAGAGAAACAAAGAACTTGTCCTGTAGTAGGACAGGCTTGAAGCACGTTAGTCTCCGCTGTATTTCCCATGAGCTGCATTAGATTCAGTGTGACCCCCATGACAAAGCACCCATCTCTTCTGGCCTTAGGACATTGCAGTTGCCGTGTGCAGACCCTTAGGTTTTGCAGTGCTGCTTGTAGCAGCAGCTAACCTTCTTGGCAGATCTGGGTGTGAGTGTCTTGCTTGAAAACACACACAAAGTGCACCTCTGGAACCGAATATACAGCCTAATTATATCAGCAACCAGACTGTATCTTATTTGCAAAGTTAGCTTACTTCCCTTTCAGAGAATAAAAGAATATCCATTATGGGAGAAATCATGCATTGCATTCTTTAGTCTTCTCAGATCTACAGCTGGTGAGAATTTTTTCAGTGGTTTTGAATTTTTCAGAAAACAACAAAAAATACCCCAAACTTAAAAAAAAGGGTTTAAGTCCATTTTTTTTCTGTTTGGTGGTTTGGTTTTTTTTTTTTTTTAAGCTTTCTGATTATGGGGAAAAAAAAAAGGAAAAGCATATGCTTTCTTCAAAAGAAGATATTTTGACTCAGAGGGTTATTTGATTGAAAGAGATTAAAATTCAAAATTTGTGTTGGCACAACTGTTAAGGTAGAGATTTTAGCTATTGTGCAGTCCAGAATGCTAACTCTGTTTTCAAAGGGGGAG